TTATTTGTTTTCCCAACTCTTGTTGCTCAAAATTTTGCTCTTCCGCTCGAGCGGCATTTCTTGTGCTCGAGCGGGCTTTGCAAACTCTCGGTACTTTTGCAGGTCTGCAAAACTACTAGGAGAGTGTATTTTACGCTCGAGCGGCCATTCTTGCGCTCGTGCGATGTTCTTCTGTCTGCAAAACTACTAGATGTGTGTATTCTGCTCAAGCGGTTATTTCTTGCGCTCAAGTGGAACAACTTATTGTGTTTGACGCTTAAGCGTCAACTCTTGCGCTGGAGCGGACTGTGCGTATATCAGTTTGCAACAGCACATTTTCACATCACTTTTTCATATCTTTTTCCACCAAAACCCTAAATCTAGAGCTCCTCCCTCTAAAACTCACTCTCTTTCTACTTTTTCACCTAGATTTAGTGGTTTTTACACCCTACTCTATTTGTTAAAAAGGTAGAGCGTCTCAAGAGATTCGTTTTGATCTGAATAGAAGTTAGTTTCGGCGTCCTTGAAGTTCTTCCATTGTTGCTTTGGTCATCTAAGCTTGAGGTAGGGACTTTCTACGCTCTTCTATAAGTTAAAACTTACGTTATTGATTGATGTGTAAGAAATATTGAAACTTGAGGTGATTTTGAACAAACCTAGGGCTTGGGGTTTAAATTCAAAAAAAGGGTTTTTAAAAGAATGTGTTGGGAATGGTCATGAGAATGAATATGAACTTGTGTTGTTATAAAATAGATGATTTGGTGGTTGGGGTCAGTTTTGAAAAGAAGAGGGTATTTTTGCCCTAAAATGTCTTGAATAATTATTTTGTGTAAATAATGAAATTGGTATTGAGAATATGAAATTGGATGGGGTGTTTATGTAAATAGTGGAATTAGATATGCATTATCTCATACTTATGGAAATTTTGGATAATTTATCGGTTGTAAAGATTGTATATCTGTTTAGAAATATCTGTTTTGGGCAATCGGTGGAGGATCATCATGATTGTTGTAGCAATTGCATAAGGATTAGGCAAATTGAAACTAATTTCTTGATTGTCATCATCATTAAATATTATTATGATATGTATACATTGTATATGTATGATATGTGAGAGGAGAAAGGGGATGTACTCTATGTTTGAGAGGAGAAAATGGATGGACTTCATTAAATTAAGTTGGTTTGTGTGTCCAGGGTGAAAGTCCCGAAAACCACGCATATACATAGATGCTGATTCCCGCAGATGAAATTTTCATAAAATGGCAAGTGAATGTATTTGTATGATAATTATGTTAGTTGGAGACCTGTGAGGTGTATCCTCTGTTTGATTAATTAAATGAATTGGGCATATCTAATGAAACGAGATAGAATGAGTTGGAATGTAAATTTGGTATAACATGGTTTGAAAAAAAAAGTTGTAAATGATTTTGTCACTGGACATTGAACACGTGTATATTACTAATATCTTTATTAAGATTCATATATTGTGATACATTGTCTCTACTGGGCTTTGACTCACCATTCTTGGGAAACCATTTTCAGGTTCTGGTGACATGTCTTCGCTAAGGACCTAGCTTGGGAGGATTGTAGAGCTGAGAGCTCACTTTTGTTTATTTTTGCATTTACTTTTGCATAAGCCTAGGGCTTTATTTGTATTGAGCCTCTAACTCGTTTTGTTGTAACTAAGTATCGTTTTCGAAAGTTCTAAACCCGTAGGGCATTTATTTCATTGATCATTTAGTTTGGTGCCACATGTTATAGATTCAAGGTAGAGCTTATGAATGCGTAATGCATGTGCTCCTTTTGTAAATTGACTCTGATTAATGAAAGCCTAATACTCTGTTTATGTCATTTTGTATTAGTCTTTACTGTTGAATTGTTATATTATTTTTGGAGCGTTACAGCGTCGAATATATAATAATTCGTTTGAGATTTCTAATATTACTGTTGCTTTTTTTTTCAATATATTTTTTCCTCAACAAATAAAGTTATCTCTTGATAATAAAGATATGGAATACATTTACACACCATTAAAGTTAGACTTCCCTCTCTACCTGAATTGGCCCCAAGTGAAAGTTGACTGAAAGTATAGGCACTTTTGGTAAAATATTAGGGTACTTGTCAATCAGTTTTATTAATTAGACTTGTTTACTTATAGGACTTGATTGATAAATTTATTTACAAAAGCAAGAGAGACTAATAAATTTATCATCATTTGATAAATTAATCAATAGGACTTAATGGGTAATAAATCCCAAAAATAAGATATATTAATAATCTACCTTAAAAGGGGTTGTTCACGTGAGTTGAACATTTTTTTCATTTGAAATGCTAATCATTTTGAAGCAAAAATAAAAACGGTGTTAAAATTATTAAAATTTTAATAAATATTTTGCCTGCTAAATTTACAAAGATAGTAATGATGGGTAACTATTTCGAAACAAAAATAAAAATGGTGTTAAAATTGATAAAAATAAAATTTTGAGGCCCAAAATATATACTCCCTCTGTCTCAAAATAATGGTCCATTTTGGAAAATCTAACTTTTTTTGGTAGTACAATTATTGTACTTTAAAAAAGTTGATTTTCCAAAATTACCCTTTTGATAGTACATTTTTTGGGAATACCAATGTTATAATTGTACTTTTTATTTTGTTTATTAATTTAAAAGAAGGGCAAAATAAAAAATTTATATTATTTTTGTACTTGATTTTTGAAGAGGGATTAATATTTTGGGACGGAGGGAGTATATTTTAAATTTACGAAGATGAATGATGTAATTTATCAAAAATCAAAGTGGGAATTGTGGAGAACCACAATACAATGTCCAGAGGGTGTAAATTTTTATTTTCTTCTAACAATCAGGATAATTCTGTTTCCAAACACATATTATTTTAAATTCCCACACTTAATAATTTTTTTCTTAATGTAATTTTGTCATTGAACAAAAATATCATAACACCTTTATTGTTTTCCACCTAAATCCTAATTCTAAAACACCACAACCATCGTTTATCGCTAACGTCACCTCTTTCCTCCAATATCTCTTCCCATCGCCTCTTCTCCCCTCCGCTTGCTACCATCTTCTCCCATGAACCATATACTTCCACAAGTCCTCGATGCGAACCACCCACTTTCTAGATTCACTATGGAGGTCTATGATAAAGTTGAGAGTGGCAACGGTGGTTGGAATGGAATGTTGAGAGTGACGGTAACTGCGACGAAGTAGAGGTGAGTGAATGGCATAAAAATTAAGATTTTTAAATTGAAAATGAAGATATTACTAAAATAAAGTGACGTGTTCTAATTTTTTTATATATATAGTGAAAAGATATTCAGTAGTGTGTATTAAAGGTAAGTGTGTGAAATTATAATTACCTTCACAATCATAGTTTTGTCATTACCTTAAAGTTGGCTAATACTATTCTCCAAAAGAGTTGACTGAAGACGGAGTGTATACAAGGATCATATATATATATATATATATTTTTTTTTTTCTTGATACAAAAGATGGCATGTACTAAGGTGAGTACACAATTAAGATTAAAAAGTCAAGTTTACGAGTAATTTATTGATATTTTTTTTTTTCCTGATACAAAAATTGGCATGTGCCAAGGTGAGCACACAATTATGATTAAAAAGTCAACTTTACAACTAGGTGATTGATAACAAAGTTGGTAGGTTGAAATAGAATACTATAATGATTTCACGTGTTTAATAGATATAGCAATAGTAAAATTTGTATGGGATTTAATGTGATTTTAGTATCAACAATTAAAAATTGTGAGTCATAAGGACGAAAAATTATTCTTTGCTTATCACCAAAATGAAGTCCTTTCCTATCTTTCAACAACTATAATTTTGTCTTTGTTCTGATTTAAGTATATGTAAGTAAACCTAATGATTGAGTGACATTAAAATAAGTACATTGACTCCGAATTTTATGACTTATTTGTTATGACACATTGTAATGTTGATTATGATTCAAAAATTGTTTAATTATATCTCATGTGATATTTGATTATAATTATTTTTTTAAAAAAAAATTGAATCTTATATTATTAAGTTATGGCATTTGTGATAATCAAACTCACAAATAATATAACTTTCACATGTACCATAGCATTATCCTATCATATACTTAAAAAAAATCACCCAGGAAGCATTTGTCGTCTCTTTTTAATTAGCCAAAAAGCATTTGACATCTCTTTTTACGGTTTTTGTTTGGTTACAATTTTCAAAAAATATTTTTAGATATATTTTTGTTTGTCCTTATTGAATTTATATATATATTAGTCATTCTTTTACTTTTTAGGTAATCAAGATTAGATACCCAATTCGCGTGATTGAGTCTATACTTGTGTGTTGTGCGCTCTAGACTAAACAGCATGACTCAATTGAACTGGATAGGAGACATATCCGCATCCTTATGTCATTCACATCTTTGCCCAAGGAGCTATGATTTATTGTATGCAGCTGGCCTCTTTTCTATTGAATGACTTTGTCCATGGTTTTTCATGCATATTTCAAGTAAACCAACATTGCCAGAAATTTCATAAAGAAATGAAGTAGCTAGCAATAAGAAAAATTTTAAACCAGGATGGACATGAGAAAGTTGCCCATAATTCGTAAAAATTAGAGAAAAAATTGTATGGAGGATAGCTCTAATGCACACTACTCCTTTTAAGAGTACAGAATTTCAAAGCAAATGAAAATGGCAAAACTCAAAGACAAAACTTGCTATCTAAAACCCATAAATTATTTAAATCACATTTGGTATTTTCTGCCAAGAGTGACAGGTGCCAAAGAGGAACAATTAGATAAGATGCTTTATTGGACACTGTCAATAAGTCCACACTCAAATTTGTCATATGAAACTCTTGAAAGGGCCACAAACTACTTTGACCAAAACAAAATTGGCAAAAAAAAAAAAGTCAAAACAGAAAAGGCATAGTCAACAATGCTTTGAAATAGGTGGTGGTTCGCGGTGGTGGAGTCGGAGGAAGACAGCGGTAAAGAAGAGTATATGCCTTGAGATTTCATTGCCATCCGCTCCACTCCGTCGTCCACCTTGGTGGGATCTGTCAATGGCGCCGGAAGGGTTAGTTTGATGTGTGAACCTCACCTCCCTGACTCACACTACTGCTGGTGATTGAAGAAGCAGAAGCCTGATCAGATTGCTGAACACTAGGATGAGAAGCGGGCCCACTCTTCGATAAAATCAAACCAACCGAACCACTAGATGTGCTTGTCGAAGAAGACATCCTGGTTGAAATGGCATCCTTGTTGGACCCCAAAATAAGTTCATGCCTCAACTCTGAAGAGGATGATGGAGCCAGAGTACCCATGGAAGATCCAACAGGGTAAGGAGCAACTGGCATATCAGCAAGAGAAGATGCAGATGAACTGTAACTCAGTGTTCCCAAGGGATGATCAAATTTGCATGAGGACCCAAATTTGCAAACTCCATTTTGAGCATAGTGTGTGCAAAGCTGGGCACCCGGACGTAAGGGAAGACCCATCGGACTAAGAACAAAATTCATTTGTGGCAAACTCCATTCTGGTGGATGATGGAGTGGGGTCCACGACTGTGTGAACAGCTTCATTCCTCTGGAATTGGTGATGTACCTCTCTCTCTCTCTGCTATTAATGTTAATAGGATGAAAAACTGATGGCGGAATGTGCGATGTGCAGTGTTGCTTTTATGTTGTGTGAATGGTGTGAAGAATTGGTGCAAGAATGGAAGAGAGAGACAAGAGTTCAGTTATGGATTTGCTCCGTTGAACTTTTCGATGCGGTCGGTGGAGCAAAAAATGGCGGTGCAGACTGATATTGAGGCCAATCAGTATACTCTGAAGTCATGTGTGGAAACCATGACTGCGGTCACAAACTTGTCGCACCGGCTGCAGAGCAGGACAAATGAGGTGCAACAGTTAAACTCCCAGCTGGCTCTGCTCCAACGCATGTATAAGGATGCGCGAGCAGAGATAAGTGTGCTAAAGGCAGAAAACAAGGAGCTGAAGCGGAAGGCCACCGTTATGTTCCGATTTGGAGGCCCGCCATATGCTGCAGTGGAGGAGCAAGGTGGAGTGATCGTGCCCAATGGAGTGGGAAACACGGAGGCAACACCGTCAAGGGCCGCCCAGGACGGAGGCAAGAAGAAAAGACAGGCGACGGAGTAGAGAAGAAAAATCCCACTGTGGGTGTGGTTGTGTGTTTGTATTTGTTGTTTTTGTTGTGTTTTTTTTTTTTTTTTGGGTAAATTTTTTTTTTTTTTTTTTTTTTTTGTGTAAAATTGTGATCGGGGTTGATCCCAGCATAACAAAAATGATAAGTTTGTGGAATGAAAACCGAGACGGTTGTGAATGTTTTTTTTTTTTTTGTTTTTTTTTTTTATCAATGTTTCATTATTATACAAAAGATAGAAACAAATAAAATAAAATAAAATAAAAGTAGGGATAGGAAAAATATATTATAATAAAAAAATATATATATTAAAGAAAGTGAGGGATGTGGGCGGTGGATGAAAAGATGTGAGAGGCATTGTGTTTAAATAAAATAAAAGAAAAGAAAAGAGGGGGACAAAAGTTGGTGGATAGGTGGATGAAGAGAAAGAAGAAAGAAATAAAAGAAGAAAAGGAAAATGGGTTTGAAAAATTAGAGAGAGATGCTCAGGAAGTGTTGTGTAAAGCGTGAATTGAAAGATGAAATAAAATAATAAAAAGAAAGTGGGGTGGTGTGGGTCAGCAGCACACATCATGTTCTTTGCATCCCACACGTGCTGGGGCAGCTCTGGGACTTGAAGCCACTTTTGCTGTAGGAATTGGAGTTGGTGTTGGGCTTGGAGTTTGTGCTTGAGAGGTCACTGTAGAGGCAGCCTCTTTTGACAGCTTTTCCAAGTTGCGAATTTCAGAGGAAATGAGAGAGACAACACGGGGCCTCTTTGCAATGCTTTGAAGTTGACGAAGTTCCTCCAAGGCCATCACCAAGTCATCCGCCATTTCTCTTCTTCTGCTCAACTATGAGAGAGAAAGAGAGAAAGAGAGTACATGCTTTTCTATTGTAATTACTCCTGTCGCAGGTGATCGATGTTAGCATTGAACAAGGGTGCTTGCAGTCAACTTATGGAATCCACACCGTTAGAGTTGAAAGTATAGCACATGGGAAAGCTGCACCTGTAGATGAGTTGCAGGTGCAAGGGGTTTATAACCCTGGGCTTCTGAGGAAGATCATTGTGACTGAAGCTTCCAAGGTCATACAAGATGTTGGTAGAACTCGGAGATCTGCCGCTCAAATTGGTGAAGGGGAAAGTATGGTCCGCGTTGGACCTTCTGCTAAGGGTCCAGCTGTGTTCAGATCACCATCCAAAAGTTGGAAGATCGTGGGTTCCCCACGTTATGCTTCAGTTGAGCACAGCAGTATACTGCCTACGGATTTGATGCTACATAAACTCGAAGAAGTTAGCAAATCAGTAAAGAGAGTACAGAGAGTGAGACAACTCTAGAAGTTGCTGAACCTCGAATCGGTGCTCAACAAAAAAAAATATTAGGGGCGAAAACAGAGGAAGCTTCAAGGAAGAAAATTGGTGGTGATGGGTTGACTGGGTGAGTCAAGGACAGCGACTCGAAGGAGTTGGGCGTGAAGGCGGTGAACTCGAAGAAATTTCAAGGTATGTGTAGAAACTTTTAGCGGACTAGGTTGAGGTCCGGCGGGCGGCCAAGGCGAGGTTGCCGCCCGCCGGTGACGCGAAAAAAAAAAAATACTAAACTCTTAACCTTGCTCTGATACCATGTTAAAAAATGATGTATTATTGATTGATATATTGATATATGTATTGATTTTTATTACAAATGGTGAGTGGCTCATTATATAGGAGAGGGTGAGTGTAGTAGGTGAGGAGTATGTGAGGAGTAGGTGGTGGTAGGTGATGGTAAATTGGTGGTAGGTGATGGTAAATTCTAACAGTAGAGAAGAAAGTGAATAGCCTCTTTCTGTTGATCTATATCTTCAAAAGTGAAATGTTTTGAATTTAGAGTCTGGAGCATATTAAGGCTATTTTAGTCTTCCCCTTTGAAGAGCTGGATTTGCTTGCATTTTGTGCCGACCCATATTCAAGCAAAGTAATTTCTGCAAGTATTTTTTTTTTTTATCTGCAAGTATTTTTTTTTTTTTTTTTTTTACAAGAGGTATACTAATTATTTTTATTTGTTTTTGTTTGACATAGTAGTACCAATTTATGTTGGGATATAAATAATAAAACTAACCATCAGTTTAATCAGAGAAAATAATAAATCATGTGTTTCAATATCATCGCCGTCGTGGGAGCCCTCTTTCGTCGTTGGAGCCTCGGAGTTAATTTCCAACGAAGTCCTGCAGCTGTTCCATCGTATGATCAACAACAGTTAGGCCCACCATGGGACAGTGGGAGCCTCGGAGTTAATTCCCAACAAACAAGCGCAGTGTCAAATCCTTTACTCGGATCTGAAGATGAAGATAACTCTGACTGGGGTAAAGCTTTTTTCTCCCTTTGGTTTTTCTCTAACATGGCGTCCACCCAAAAAAATAAAAATATTGTAGTCACTTTGGAATTATTGAAGCAAACAATTACTAGATCTACAAACAAATTTTTGGAGATGGCTATTGAGGGAAATCTATTTTTTTTTTTTTAAAAAAGAGTAGTAATTTCTTCATCCCATCCATTTCTAATTTTTTTTTTTATTAATTATTGGACAAATTATATTGATAGTCTTGTGATTTGTCTCTTATATGAATTAACAATTTGTAATTCTAATTGTATTAATTTCAGGAGAAATTTCAATTCAGTTGAAATTTCTAAAAATATATTACAAATCAGTGGTATATTTTATAAATTTTAATAATTAAAATATGGGTTTATTACACTTTAGACCCCTCAATTATTGTCAAATTATCTATTTAGTCCCTAAACTATTGATTGAGTCTATTAAATCTCTAAAGTATATAAATTAAAGTCCATTTAATCCCTAAACTATCGATTAAATATATTAAGTCTCTAAAGTATTTAAATCAAACTTATTCAGTCCTTGAAAGGATTACAAAAATAAAATATAAGCCTATAAGTATTATAAATTAGTAAAAGACACTATCTAGTTAAAATTTTATTTCAAAAAAATCTTAAATTTTTATTATGTTTTTGAAAAGTGAGCGTTAACTCTTATGGTGAATTTCTTTTATAAGGGTAAGTGTAATTATCTATAGTATTTTATTATCTATCTTCTAAAGTGGCGACGTGCTTGCCTTTATCTAGTATTATCTGTCAGATTTTGTTTATAATTTCTAACTGATTGTTTTTAATTTTTTCGCTAAATTCTTTTTCTAATTGAATTAATATATTATTTTTGCATTATTATTTGTGGCGAAATGTTATTATTTAAATTATCCAACTCTACTTCTTTAGTATATCTAATATTCATATAATTTTACTGATAAAATTGAGAAATCAAACTCTAATACTAATTTAATTACATAATAAAATAAAACACGTTTTAAAGATAAAATAAAATTTTAAGATTTTTTTGTAATAAAAATTTAATTAGGTAAGGTCTTTTACTAATTTATAATACTTACAAAAATATATTTTAATTTTATAACCTTTTTAGGGACTAAATATATTTGAATTAAATATTTTAAGGACTTAATAAATTCAATTGATTGTTTAAGGACTAAATAAGTTTTGATTCATATACTTTAAGGCCTTAATAGACTCAATTTAGCGATAATTTTAAGGTAGAAAGTGTAATAAACCCTTAAAATATCAAACTTTTCTATGAATATATAATTTTTTTATGAAAAGTCAACTTAATTGTAATTTTCCCTTAATTTTACTCTTTCATTTTCCACATTAATAACATATGCTACAAAATTGGAAAATTGTATGTATGCACCCTACCGCAAAAATATTTAATTTTTTTACAAAATTTTATAATATCAATCACACACTACAACATATTAGACTTTTGGCGACCAATTATTTTGGTCCCTAAAACTATTATTTTAGTCTCTAAATGATTTTTGTGACAAAATTAATTTCGTCACTAAAAGAAAAATAGATGATAGATGAGTTTCCATTGCAACCTCATATAATTACAATTCAATAAATAAAATCTATAAACAGAGCCCACCAAGGAAGGAGGAGAGAAAAATAGATGATAGATGAGTTTCCATTGCAACCTCATATAATTACAATTCAATAAATAAAATCTATAAACAGAGCCCACCAAGGAAGGAGGAGAGAAAAATAGATGATAGATGAGTTTCCATTGCAACCTCATATAATTACAATTCAATAAATAAAATCTATAAACAGAGCCCACCAAGGAAGGAGGAGAGAAAAATAGATGATAGATGAGTTTCCATTGCAACCTCATATAATTACAATTCAATAAATAAAATCTATAAACAGAGCCCACCAAGGAAGGAGGAGAGAAAAATAGATGATAGATGAGTTTCCATTGCAACCTCATATAATTACAATTCAATAAATAAAATCTATAAACAGAGCCCACCAAGGAAGGAGGAGAGAAAAATAGATGATAGATGAGTTTCCATTGCAACCTCATATAATTACAATTCAATAAATAAAATCTATAAACAGAGCCCACCAAGGAAGGAGGAGAGAAAAATAGATGATAGATGAGTTTCCATTGCAACCTCATATAATTACAATTCAATAAATAAAATCTATAAACAGAGCCCACCAAGGAAGGAGGAGAGAAAAATAGATGATAGATGAGTTTCCATTGCAACCTCATATAATTACAATTCAATAAATAAAATCTATAAACAGAGCCCACCAAGGAAGGAGGAGAGAAAAATAGATGATAGATGAGTTTCCATTGCAACCTCATATAATTACAATTCAATAAATAAAATCTATAAACAGAGCCCACCAAGGAAGGAGGAGAGAAAAATAGATGATAGATGAGTTTCCATTGCAACCTCATATAATTACAATTCAATAAATAAAATCTATAAACAGAGCCCACCAAGGAAGGAGGAGAGAAAAATAGATGATAGATGAGTTTCCATTGCAACCTCATATAATTACAATTCAATAAATAAAAATTAGGATTAATTACACTATATATTCTCTTTTTGGTATGAAATAAATTTAGAAAATTCAAAACTAATTTTTTTAGTTTTCATTTTTGTCAAATTAATTTGTAATTTTTTGAAAAAAAAATCAGAAATAATTTCTGAAAACTCAACAGAGTCAAATTATACTTGGACTGTCAATTAAAAGCCTTCCTCTTCAGCTCACACTTTTCGCCCTAACGTCGAGGCCCAGTTGAGCAGAGTCAAAGTTGGGCCCAAACTTGATTTTGGGGGCCGAGTTTTAAGTGCACGTAGCTCAACTTGAATTTCCAGTAGCCCTGAAGTACTGGGGTCCGACCACCACTACAAATTTTCTAGTATGTTGCATGTGTCTTATTCTAGTTCTACTCCAAATGTTTCACAAAAAAATAGTGTACTATTGAAAATATAAAATCTTACTAACTTGTATGTAATGTAATGAAGAAATTGCAGCAATTACTAAAGATTCCTTATTAATAGATAATAAGGAATGATGCCTATTGATAGTACCTTTGCAGTAACAGATTCTGTTGCACGCTTCCTCCATAGATCAGCTTTCCGAGTTTCAAATTCCTCTCTACTCATGATGGGGGGTCCAGGATTGATGGCCATCCTAAAATCCAGAAGATCCCTAAAATCCGCAAGAAAATTAGTCAAATTGTTTTGAAAAAGGATAACATTACATTAAAGGCTGAATAGATGATAAAAAAAATGTAAAGCCCATTTCATTGTTGATAGTTTCAGAAAATGAATGTAAAAGTGACATTACTTGAAAATAAGTCAACATTGGAGTATATTAAAAAGATTCAGAATTTCATTTATTTTCCTACAATATTTATATATATATATATATATTGCAATTAGATGATGCATCAAGGCAGAAAATAAATAAAAATAAATAAATTAAAAAAAAGAAGAAAATATGACTTCAAATTTAATTAAAATTATTTTTTGGTTGTTTAATTCAAACAGCAGCATCAAAAACAAGATTTCGATTCTTTGTAAGAAAAAAATCCTGTAGAAGAGAAATTCTAAGCATTTCTCTGGCTGGGTGCCCATTATCTTTTCCGGCCAAATTGGTGTTCTACCAAATCGTTGATCGTAACCCACCACCAAGAGTACCTGCTGCAGTACATACAGATAATGAAAAATAAATAAATTTAGACAACAAAAAACATACTGATTTTGATTTCAACAAAGAAACATTGCCACTGCTGCTCACTTCTCTACTGAATTCCCGATCTTTAGATAACTCCCTGCCGTAAGAGGAAGAAGTTGAACTCGTCAATCAAATAAAATACTAAATGGGTAATTCAGCTTGAACACACAGTACAGGTCAAATGATCATACATCATAACAATTATTGAACCATAAAAGCTTCAAATGATTCATAAACACAGAACTTGGCTAAAGACTCTTCCAATACAACTAAAAACTTTTGGAGTACACTATCAGCCGCAAAGAGCAAATGGATTTGGTACTCATGAACAAGCATAGAGAATCCAATTCACAAACAGAACTATGTAGACCACCATCTAAGATTTTAAAAAATAAATAAACAAATAAGAGAAAAAAAATTTAACAAAATAGTCATGGATTCAGCCACAACCATCCAGAGTTCCACTTCCAACTCAACAGGACACCAAAATACCAGTTTGAAGTAACAAGGCTCTGGCAAAAGAAAAGAACAATCATGGATTCTCTATCCCGAAATTTCTGTCTATTGATTTTCTATCCCATTTTTGTGATATTAATCTTGACCGAGTTCAATTCTAGAGGAGCATAAATTGCATGAAAGATCAAAGTTCGACAAAATGAATCCAATGGCCAAATTTATCTAGTATATAGTGTGCTAGAAAGCTACAAAAGCATAGAATCCTCACTCAATAGTATATAGAAAGAGTCCGATGATGTTGGAGAGACGGGCGTTGGATGCCAATAGACCATAACCAAAGATCTAAATCCACACTCAACACCTGGACAAAATGCACAAGGAAATAGAGATATGAAAATAGGATATAAGATAAATTCATCTTGAAAAATAGATAACAAAACAAGAGAGACAAAAGAGCGTGTAATTGGAGAATCATTAATGAGCAAAAACGATGCCAGCTAAACTGAGAAGATTGAAATGAAGTAAATTTGGGAAACAAATTATATTATTATATGTTGTTCCCTTTCAAAGAAAAAATAAGAAATGTAAAATGAGTTTTCATTTGTAAGACTGCCAAAGGAGCTTCATCCAAATCTGTCATTCAAGAGTTTTGATTTATTTAAGCTGTAGCACAACAAGATCATCAAAGCAAGAAGCCTCACATAGCTCATCAATTTCTAAGAGTGATTTCCAATTATTGGCACATGTACGGGACTAATTCCTCTGTAAGTGTGTATTAATAATTAGTAACTATAATCCAACATATTTTTGGACTTACAAGTGATCACATTTTAAAATTCCCTACTGAAATTGTAAAAAATAACAGAAAGACTTCTTTTTCTTTTCTTTTCTTTTCTTTTCGTCAATATAACTAAATTTCATCGAACTTTATAAACTCAAGAGAAGAGAGTTTAGAAATCAGAGTTTACTTGGTCCCTATATATTTAGAAATCAAAGTTTCAGAGTTTTAAACTTCATATATATCAATAATTTTAACAGTTTAGAGAGTACTGACCTAGGTTTTCGATACCAGGTAAGAGAGAACTCGGAAGAGAAGTAAATCGACAACTGAGATTCTTCTTCAATGAATCGATGATGAAATCTTCCAGTGATTGAAGATTGCGATGTAGAAAATGATAAAGAGAAAGAAAAAGAGATGATCGGATCAATATTGTAAATCATATATATGTGTATATGCGGGGAGAGAGAGAGAGAGAGAAACGCACCAAAATTTGAAGAAGATTGAGCAAATCTGCCATGGATGCTTCCAATTTGTATTAGAGCTCTAGAGAGAGAGCAAACTCGTTGAAGAGAGAAAGAGAGTTGCAACTTTTTGATTGCTAGCAAATCCTGTTAGGGCTGAAGTGAGTCCCGATTTTTTAATGGTTAAAATGATAAAAATATTTGGTCACAAAATGTTTTTAATTGATAATGACAAAAATATTTAGTCTCTAAAAAGGTTAATAATATATTAGCAACCAAATTTATTAGTCTCAATAAGTTATGTAAATATTAAGTGAGAATATTAATAGTCATTTTTATAATCTTATAAGTAAGTTATCATATATTTTAATTTGTCCCTAAAAGATTATTTTTAGTGACCAAATTCAATTAGTCCTTAAATATTAGTCCCTAAAAGACTAATTTCTTGTAGTGACAAAATGCGTAATTTTACCTTACAAATTAGTGTGTAATAAAATGTCTAAAATTTCGTGGTTAATATTGCAAATGTTTGTGGCTTAGTTACAACAGGTTTTGTTACACCAATTTATGGCGAAATTATACATTTTATAGTTGGTATTATGAAATTTTGTGATAAAATTATATATTTTTTAATAGGTACATATGAACCATACCATTTCTCTAAAAAAATTAAACAAAAATCAACGCAAAATTATTTATTTAGGCCCAGCATGGGACAGTCGGAGCCTTCGGTGTTAATTTCCAACAAAGTCCTGCGGCTGTTCCATTGTGTGATCAACAACAGTTGGGCTACATATGGACCATACCATTTCCCTAAAAAATTATACAAAAATCAACGCAAAATTATTTATTTAGGCCCACCATGGGACAGTTGGAGCCTCGGAGTTAAATTTCCAACAAAGTCCAGCAGGTGTTTCATATTCTAGGTGTCATGAAGAGTTAGGCTCACCATGGGACAGTTGGAGCCTCGGAGTTAATTCCCAACAAACAAGCGCAGTGTCAAATCCTTTCCACGGATTTGAAGATGAAGATAACTCCGAAACGATTATTTGCAGAGAAATTGCCGAGTTATCTGTGGAACTCAACTTACCACCTGAAAGCTTGACCATCGACCACTCTGACTGGGGTAAAGCTGTTTTCAACTTTTTTCTCCCTTGGCTTTTTATCTTACATGGCGTCCACCAAAAAAAATTATATATGTATATATATTTAAATATATCGAGTGTCCAGATCAATTTACGAATGCATCGACTAATCTTGGGACCCAAGCAAAGCGTCCCTCCAAAAGAATCAGTCAAATGATGAGGGTAGGATCCTTCCAGCAGCAGCGGCTTGGGCAAAGATTGATGGTGATGAGGTGGCAGAAAAGAGAGCCTTGATTGGTGCTGACAATTGAGTGATTTTTTTTTTTTTTAAAAAAAATGAGTAAATTCTTCATCCCATTCATTTTTTTTAAAAAAATTTATTAATTATTAGACAAATTATATCGGTAGTCCTGTAATTTGTCCCTTGTATGAATTAACAATTTGTAATTCTAATTGTATTAATTTAATGAGAAATTTCAATTCAGTTGAAATTTTTAAAAATGATTACAAATCAGTAGTATACTTAATAAATTTTAATATTTAAAACATGGGTTGATTACACTTTATACCCCTCAACTATTATTATCTATTTGGTCCCTAAATTATCGATTGATTGTATTAAATCTCTAAACTACATATAGATTAAAATCTATTTAATCCTTATATTGTCGATTGAATCTATTAAGTTTCAAAAATATTTAAATCAAACTTATTTACTTCATCAAAAGATTACAAAAATAAAATATAAGCTCATAAGTATTATAAATTACTAAAAGACACTATCTAGTTAAAATTTTATTTCAAAAAAAAAACCTAAAAAATTTACTATGTCTTTGAAAAGTGGGCGTTAGCTCTTATGGTAAATTTCTTTTATAAAGGTCAAGGTAATTATCTATAGTATTTTATTATTTATCTTCTAAAATGGCTACATACTTGCCTTTAGGATTTCCTTTATAATTTCTAATTGATTGTGTTTTAAATTTTTTGCTCAATACCTTTTGTAATTTAATTAATATTTTTTTTCTATTATTATTTGTAGTGAAATGTAATTATTTAAATTATCTGATTCTACTTCTTCAATATATCTAATATTCATATAATTTTATTGACAAAATTGAAAAATCAAACTCTAATACTAATTTAATCACATAATGAAATAAAAACACATTTTAAAGACAAAATAAAATTTTAAGATTTTTTTGCAATACAAATTTAATTAGGTAGGTTCTTTTATTAATTTATAATACTTACAAGCATATATTTTAATTTTGTAATCCTTTTAGGAACTAAATAGGTTTCAATTAAATATTTTAATAACTTAATAGATTCAATTGATAGTTTAAGGATTAAATAGACTTTAATTCATAGACTTTAAGGACTTAATAGACTCAATCGATCGTTCAAGAACTAAATAGATAATTTGGCGATAATTTAAAGGTAAGAAGAGCAATAAACCCTTCATTTTGTGCAGACCCATATTCAAGCAAAGTAATATCTGCAAGTATTTTTTTTCTTTTTTCTTTTACAAGAGGTATACTAATTATTTTTATTTGTTTTTGTTTGACATAGTAGTACCGATTTATGCTGGGATATAAATAATAAAACTAACCATCAGTTTAATCAGACAAAATAATAATCATGTGTTTCAATATCGTCGCCGTCGTGGGAGCCCTCTTTCGTCGTTGGAGCCTCGGAGTTAATTTCCAACGAAGTCCTGCAGCTGTTCCATCGTATGATCAACAACAGTTAGGCCCACCATGGGACAGTTGGAGCCTCGGAGTTGATTCCCAACAAAGAAGCGCAGTGTCAAATCCTTTGTTCCCAACAGTTAGGCCCACCATTGGTAAAGCTTTTTTCTCCGGGCAAATTACATATACACCCCTCGAGGTTTGATTAAATTACAGATACCCCCTGAGGTTTCAGAAATTACATCCCGCCCCCTGAGGTTTGTATTTTCATAACAATTTACCCCCTGAGGTTTATATTTCATAACAAATTACCCCCTAATTTCTTATGCAAATATAGCATTCAGGGGGGAATTTGTAATTTCTCAAACCTCAGGGGGGTATTTGTAATTTAGTCAAACCTCGAGGGGTGTATATGTAATTTGCCCTTTTTCTCCCTTTGGTTTTTCTCTAACACGGCCACCCAAAAAAATAAAAAGGAAAATGATTGAGAGCCCTAAAAAAGTTGCCCCTAATACCCCTAATTTCCAATTTTGGAAACTGTTTTTTTTTTCTTTCTTTTTTCTTTTTTTTTTTCTTTCTTTTTACCCGAAATGGAATTTCGAGCCATTCGGGGCTCTCCATTTCGGGCCCTCAATCACCGCCCAAATAAAAATATTGTAGCCACTTTGGAATTATTGAAGCAAACAATTACTAGATCTGCAAACAAATTTTTGGAGATGGCTATTGGGGGAAATCTATTTTTTTTTTTTTAAAGTAGTAATTTCTTCATCCCATCCATTTCTAATTTTTTTTTATTAATTATTGGACAAATTATATTAGTAGTCCTGTGATTTGTCTCTTGTATGAATTAACAATTTGTAATTCTAATTGTATTAATTCTAGGAGAAATTTCAATTCAGGTGAAATTTCTAAAAATATATTACAAATCAGTGGTATATTTTATAAATTTTAATAATTAAAATATGGGTTTATTACAGTTTAGACCCCTCAATTATTGTCAAATGGTCTATTTAGTCCTTAAACTATTGATTGAGTCTATTAAATCCCTAAAGGTTATAGATTAAAGTCCATTTAATCCCTAAATTATCGATTGAATCTATTAAGTCTCTAAAGTATTTAAATCAAAATTATTCAGTCCCTGAAAGGATTACAATCTGGTTAAAATTTTATTTCAAAAAAATCTTAAATTTTTATTATGCCTTTGAAAAGTGGGCGTTAGCTCTTTTGGTGAATTTCTTTTATAAAGGTAAATGTAATTATCTATAATATTTTATTATCTATCTTCTAAAGTGGCGACGTGTTTTCCTTTATCTAGTAGTATCTGTCAAATTTTGTTTATAATTTCTAATTGATCGTTTTTAAATTTTTTGCTAAATTCTTTTTGTAATTTAATTAATATATTATTTTTGTATTATTATTTGTGGCGAAATGTTATTATGTAAATTATCTAACTCTACTTCTTTAGTATATCTAATATTCATATAATTTTATTGATAAAATTGAGAAATCAAACTCTAATACTAATTTAATTACATAATAAGATAAAACATGTTTTAAAGATAAAATAAAATTTTAAGATTTTACTAATATATAATACTTACAAACATATATTTTAATTTTATATTCCTTTTAGGGACTAAATATACTTGAATTAAATATTTTAAGGACTTAATAAATTCAATTGATAGTTTAAGAATTAAGTAGATTTTGATTCATATACTTTAAAAATTAATAGACTCAATTTAGTGATAGTTTCAAGGTAGAAAGTATAATAAACCTTTAAAAAATCAAACTTTTCTATGA